AGATCCGCAAGATTGTCCTTCTCGGGGTTCGACGCCTTCACACAATCAGGCGTCGGATCCGGTGACGCTAGCTTCGGATCTTGATCGCTAAGTTCGGGACCCGGACCCCGCGGATTCGGATCCGATGGTTGCGACTCATCGGATCCTTAGTCAACTCCGGGGATTCCGATGCTAGCACTAGCTGGATCCGGCTTCGATTCATGCCCTTCTCTATCGCAGCATAGTCAATCTCCCTCAACTCATACAGCACAGACGCGTAAATCGCGTAATCTTCGATGAAGCGACTGTAATAGTTCCGGCTGCCCAAAAAGGATTGCATGGCACGCAGAGATCTGGGAAACCCGAGATCCGTCAGCGCCGACAGATCCTTCGGATTCGCCTCCAGTCCATCGTACGATACCTTGTGACCGAGATATTCTACCTTAGGCATGCCCCAGAAACTCTTGACAACGCTGATCGACAAGTTCCATTTGTCGCACGCCTTCAGGAGATCTTCGACTCGGTCACATAGCTGATCCCAGTTATCTGCTGGCACTAAGATGTCGTCGATATAGGATCGGCGTCCTAACACCGATGGTTTTCCCGGATCTTCTTCGGGTTCTCCGGCCTCGAATACATCCAGATGCTCCAGATCACCGGCCATTTTTGGGATCCAAGTAAACCCATACAGGGCATTGTCGACCATCCGCTGGTAAATCTGCAGCGCATCCGTCAGCCCAAAAGGCATCCGATTTCACTCGAAAAATCCAAATGGGGTAATAAAGGCCAAGATCAGGCGGGCCCGATCCGACGTCTTCACCACGCGCGGTACTACAGAAGATTTTATCAGCGGATTTTGGTCCCTAATGACCCGCTTACGAAACTGGCACGCAAAAGCACCAAGTACGAGTGGACGACGGCGCAGGAGACGGCGTTTACACAAGTAAAGCAAATCTTGACGAGACCACTGTTGGTCTATCCTAACTTTAGCAGGCCATATCAACTGGAAATGGACGCGAGTAAGATTATCGTGGTGCAGCTGACTGATGAAGACCAAGTCGACGCACGCGTTGGTATCGCGCCGGCACGTACGGCTGCTGGAGCAACGACGATCTTGGGCACGGCGAGAGCACGAGGACGCCGCACGAACAGACGTCGAACACCAGTGGATAGTGAAGACGCAGCGAGTCGACCGAACACGAGTTTGGTGGAGTTGCGACGCCGACGGAGACGCAACGCCTCAGGACATTACGTGCTGGAGTAAGAGCTCGCGCCCGTACACAACTACCAGTATGGAGGTGACGATCACGAGAGCCGGCGATGGCTGTCCGTCGCTAACTACGACGGCTCCTTCGATGCCGGCAAGGTCGTGGAAGACGTTGATGGTGGGGATGGCGTGTAACAGGTGACAGTCATGTGGCGACTGTACGTGAATTCGACGGCTCCGAACGTGAAAGGTTCACGTCGGAGACCTTTAGCACTCATCAAAGTGCCAGCAAGGACGTAGGCGCTGAAGAACACGACGGCTTGGGAGCAAGTCGACCAAGTGCAGCTGGGGAGACCGCACGCATCGACGGTCAGTGGTGGCATTGTCCAGAACGACGGAGACGTACGGAACCGCACGATGGGCAGGGATCAAGTCGGACGCGGACGTGGGCAGCCGGTAGTGAGACGGAGTCACCACCGGTACGGCCCGCCAGGTTTGGGTTCCTCCTCAAGGAACGATAAAACTTGCCCAAAACAAAAAAAATCCGCAGATAGCTGCAGCGATGTGGATGGACCGAATACATGTGCACTTGCTATTAAGCGGTGGGAGCCGCGTGATAACCACCGTCGGTACGTGGAAATAGTTTATGAGTTTGTTATATTGTAATATTTCAAAATTTATGTCTATTGTGATGAGCCGTGTCAGTGGAGTAGCGGGCTCACGTTTTCGTGTAAGCTTGCCCTCGCACAAACTCTTCGCGGCCGACTCGATGGCTGCGTCAGGTATTTCCCCGGGACTTGTAGTAGCGTATCTCAGGTCAGGGTGGAGATGTAGCTAGAGTATAGCCTTGTTGTTGCGGTGTGTGTCTTAATAGACGTGTGTCAGTTCTGACGACGACTTCCGGCCTTGTTCACCTTTCGTCGTGGGGTTTTGTCCGTGGTCGTGCGGTGTTATCGGGTCGGCGTTTCCAAGGGGGTGTGGGGCGTTATCGGGCCACCACTCGTTCTTCGTAGCCCGCGTCCTGTTATCGGAGGACGCTTCGACGGTATGCTTTTACGTGTCCCTCACTGCAGGCACGGGGTGTCGGGGGTGAGTACACCAATCAGTCCAAACGTCAGGGGCGCACTTATCCAGGCGGTTATGCTTGCCGAGCGTAGGAAGGCCTTCAGGCGTAGAACCGCGAAGAAAGCTTAGACTTGTGTGAGACTAAGAATTTTGGAGACTGATCCTATCCTAGCCATCCTATCCACTGGCTACTTTCCTGCATGATTTACCTACCGTATCATGTCTAAGTGCAACCCTAATCCACGCAGTACCTCGAGCTGAGTTATGATCCTAGCTCGGGATCGGCTAGCACCGGCTCGCATCACAGGCTGGCACAGGGTCTCGGCACGGGCTGGCTCGAGTTCTCGGCACGGGATAGCGTCACGGGTCGGTCCGGGTTTTGGACCGGGTCGTGTCGCGGGTCAACCCAGGCACGGGACCGGGGTCACTATAGTGAGCTATGTCATTTTTGAGACCGTCTGATTCAGATTGTCCGTCAATCATTCTGGTCTTTTCGCGTCACTCGCGCCCCGCGTTGCCGGCCAACTGCCACATCGGACTGCCACACCTTTCGCTGCACTCCATCACGCCATTCTCGAGGCACTCCACCACATATCCATGGAGAAAAGCAACCCGTACCTGCCCCGGAGATGGTTCGTGACTACCATCGTTCTATGGGGGATGTTGACGTTCATGACCAGTATCTCATGCAGGGTTACAATGTGCTCAGCTACGAAACATGCAAGTATTACAAGACATTGTTTCTCGAGATTTTTGGCAGTCAATGGTGAGCGCGTTTATTGTATCGTATTCACAAGGAGCAGCACGACAAGCGCCCAAAGAAAAAAACGTCCAGCGAAACACTATGCTTTTTTCGAAACACTCATGGTTCAGCTACTTGCAGTCAACTCTGCCGAGACCGACGCGGCTATTGAAGTCAGTTATGGTGGGTTTGTCAACATAAGCCTATTTTGAGACTAACTCTACGTTGTATAGGTTGTCTACGTATTGATACAGCGAGCGGCAGCAGCCAGGTAGAGAACAGCAGCTTCTCCGACGCGTCAAGATCCTTCGCCACAAACTACAACATGGACTACGGATACCTATGGCGGTCACACCCTTAAACAAAATATGGAAATGAGGGACAATGACCTAGGCAACTTACGTGTTGCGATTGGAGGGAAACTGCCAGCCATTCATTCCAGCCAAACTGGTCCGGATTCGTACCAGAAATTGTGGAGTCTGACTACTAACAATTGGTGATGACTTATTTGGAAGAATTTCGATAGATACATTTCCGGTATCCAAACAATGGGGACACAAAAGAAGGTGGATTGGCGAAAAACAAAGTGATATGGATATACTAAGGTACAAGTGGAGTGATGGTAATATTTGGACTGTCACTACGTCTGTGAGTGACGATCGATTTCTGAAAGCGACTTTGGATATTGGGTATCGTAATCAAGTGATGTGTGGACCTGAGTCAAGGGTTCGAAACTCTGACTATAGCTCAG